TAGTTTGAAGTCAGAAGTCAACTACCGATTAATAGACTTGTTTGCCATATGAGTGTACGTTTCCCAGGGTGCACCACGTGGAGGTAAGTCTATCGCACACCCCCACTTAATAATAGTTGAAACGAATATAAAATACTCAAAGAAACCTTTGACTTACGGATTGCTGCGGTCGTTGGCCCTCTTTGACAATGAATTCGTAATTGCTCCGATCGAATTCAGGAATACAGTCATTTACATCTTCAATCATAATAATCACACTGGCTGAAGCTGTATGCACAACGCTGCAGCTCTCATGATTCTCACTTTGATTCATCCCACCGGCGGCACAATCCGTTGCAATCACAGTAAAGTTGATTGACTCCATTTTCTCTCTGTCAAAAGCTGTCGCGCTGTATATTTGACCCGATATTGGATCTAATTTAATCAAATCTCCCAGGTCTACATCACTTTTAATACCATAACGAATTGCTGCGTTGAGGCCAATATCAGAATCAGTAGCCTGTACTTTATCAATCAGTGTATTAAAGGGAAGATTTTCTGCTATCTTTGACTGATATAGCCCTTGAGTAAAAACTGGAGGCGAGTCATTCAAATCTTCAAGATGAATTACAACATGAACACCTCGAGAGAGAACAGGCTGGCCGGAATCATGGCAAGCAATTGAAACGGTATGCGCACTCTTAGTTTCTCTATCTAAACGTCGTGACGTCACCAACATATACTGGTACCGAGCACCAGGAAATAGTGGTTGAACAGCAAAGAATGGATGAGCTGTTTCACATTGCGATTCACTATATCCTCTTCCACTTCCATATTTATCATCCATCCATCTTTCATCCGCATCTTCCATGGTTATTGTTGCAATCATTGTACCAACTGCAACGTCCTCTGGCAAAAGTAAATCATTTGTATTCCTCCAGCGAGGTAAATGAGACTGAACAGTTATGTTGGGAGCATTGTCGTTAACGTTTTTAAGGCGAACGCGTAATTCAGCTTGGGAAAAATGAACACCATCTGTTACTCTTACGGGTATAATGTACCCCACTTCCTTCGCCTTGCTGCCCTGGGTACTGTAGATGGAGTTTGAGGATCTTGAATCAGGGAGTAATGGCGCTATCTCGTAATCTAACTCATGAGATAATGTGATAGTTCCAGTCTTTTCATCAATGCTAAAAAGTCGCATAACTTCCCCACTAGCCGTAGATGCAAATCTGTAAATCAGGCGAGTCGCGTCAGATGGATCGTCATCTTTTGCTGACATTGTAAATATTCTCGTTCTCGGTTCAATATCTTCAGATACTTCTACAGACGGATGTTCGTCAGGGAAATAAGGCGCCTGATCATTAATATCTGTAACTTTTACTATGATATTTAATGTTCCAGTTCTGTCTCCAAACACTGGGTTGTTACTGCCTCCATCTGTTGCAATCAATAGCAAACGATATTGATCACGGCGTTCCCGATCAAGATCACCATTCACTTTTAGTTGAAGGTTAAGTTTTTGTAAAGCTCCAAAAGAGGAATCAATGGGCGTAATTGAAAGCATAAACATGTCAGCTATATTGCGAGATTCATGACTAGAAAAACCATTAGTACTTTCAATCTGAGGTATGAGTTCATATCGAATAGGCGCACTTTCGATGCACTGATCCGGGTCAATGGCTTCAGGTAGTTGGATAGTAGTCCCAATTGGACTGTGTTCCGGAATCTCAATTTCTAATGTATCAGGCGACCACTTGGGTGGGTTGTCATTAATATCCATAATATTGAAGATTATATGTACAAGTTTTGGCTGAGTGGACGAACCTGATTCTCGTTGATCAATAACCAAGAGGCGCAGTGCGCAATCCGGATTGGCAGCATCATTTTCAAAAGCATGAGGAAAGGAATTCTGGGGTTTGGAAGATGAGGTACAACAGGTACCCACTTGTTCACATAGAGCCTCTCGATCAATCCTAGTTCGGACGAACAGCTGACCTGAAGTCTGGTTCAGCCTAATGTACCGTTCTTGCCCGAGTGGAGTGAATAAAACTTGCGATGAAGAAGAAGGTTTTGGGCCTAGTTTTTCTACTAAACTCTCGATTAATGTTCCAGGCGGTTGTTCTTCTGCCAAAGGGAAAATAACACTAATTCCTTGATCTGCATGTCCATCAAAGATTTCAGCAATTGCATATGGGGAGAGGAAGGAGAGGAGAAGGAGGAGGAAAGAGGAGGAAATTAACATTTTGAGGCGGACATCCTATGTGTCTACATTCACGTTTATTGTGTGTGTCTTAGTGTGGGTGTTAGAAATCAGGCTAGTGAGATGCCGTGTTGTGATTGGCCAAAGCTTCGTCCGCCACTGGATTTGTGTGGAAGGTATAGGCAAAAGCGCGTGCGGTGACTCCGTCGTGCACGTCTATCAAACACAAGACAGACCTGCTGAGAGAAAAAAATAAGGGAGAAGTGTGAAAAGCAAACGAAAAGAGAAAGTTGAGCCGAATAAATTCTTGATTTTAAGTATCCCCCCATTCGAGAGTATTTAATGCTTTTCAAACACAAATGGAAAAGAGTTTCATTGCCCAAGTTAAGAGAAAAAAGGATAAACAAATAAACAAAGGACAAAATTAAATGGTAGGACACATGAATTTCAGATTAAAGTGCTTTGAATAGAGGGGTTTGCCATAATATGCTCCGAATTCAGCTGATTTGTCTCTTTGAGTTATATTAGTATTTCTAAACCTCTAAGTCAAAAATGAATTTCTACTTCCTTGAGCTATGAATCATTAACAGAGAGAATTCCATTGAATTCAAGACATTCTAGGGAAATCTTACATTCGTCAAAATATATTTTTCTGCGATAATTTATTTTTCAATTCAATTTCCCAACAGGATACATTCTATTTGAAGGCTTTTAAGTTTATTTATATCAATCAGCAAGCGTTTTGATAGATATCATTAGCCCTTTAGTTGACTTCAGGTTTCACAGAGGGGAAGGAACATCAAAGTGAAAAAAGTCGAGAGAGGGACAAAAGAGGATTTCATATATGTAAAAGAAACACACAAAGATAGAAAAAGGTGAGGTGGGTAGTGTGAAAGGGGTGGAATATGACATACAGTGGGGTCATTATAGTTTGAAGTGGGAAGCCAAGTGCCGGTTAATAGACTTGTTTGCCATAGGAGTATACGTTGCTCAGGGTGCACCACGTGGAGGTAAGTCTATCGCACGTCCCTGAAGGTATTTAAGTTAATAGAACTTCTAAGAGTTGTCTGAGTTGGCATTTCTTTTAATGTC